ACGGGAGCCGCGCCTCGCCGCAGCGCACCGAGGGCCCGGCGCGCGGCGGGTCCCACGCGTCTCCTGCCCCGCTGCCTGCTCTCTGCCTCGCGCGCCCGCTGGGACCTCGTGCCGCCCCAAACCCAAGCGGGCGAGAGGGCCATCGGGCGCTGGGCCGGGTTGCCGTGGAGACCTGGAGACACGGGAGTCGCGGATTATACAGCGCTGTCCTTCTGTCCTGGTCCCCACATGTAACCTGCAGGGGCCAGCTGGGTGCACGGCTGGGCCAGAGGACCTGGAGGCGGCCGTGGACACCGAGTACAGGCAAGGAGGTCAGTCTGCCCCTTACTCCTCCTCTACACCTCTTCTCCTAGTCCTCCTGGCAGGAGCCTGGACATGAGGTCCAGCCTGTCCCTGGCTGCAGCCCTGGTTGGAGTCAGAGGGGTGGGAAGGAGCCCAGGAAGGAGGGAGCCCACCACCAGGGTGCCCGAGCATTGGGTGTACTTACCCTCCTGGGTGCTCAGTGATTTCACCCCTTTTTATACACAAGCAGTGATCTCAAAGATCAAGGTCACTCAGCTCTGAGTGGCCAAGTCCAGCTGTGAACATGAACGGGGGACCCAGGGTCATTGCTCTTCACCCTCACTGAGCCCTGCACTGACCATCACAGGCCTTATCCTGGGTTGGGACTCCCCCAGCCAGGCCGCCCCCTGTGCCCCAGCTCAACCTGCCAAAGTCGGGGCCACAGACCCCATTTTCAATGAGGCTCTTAGCAGCCACCACACGAGCTTGCCAGTCACAGGGCTGTGACATGGCCCTGCTGTGGGTTTGAACCCAGATCAATCTGACCCAAAGCCTAAGCTTACAGGGGAGCCCAAGGAAGTAGCCTCTGAGCCCAGGCTTGGAGGGGAGGCTGTCCTGGGTGGGGGCCATGTGAAAGGCAGTGGCTGCAGGGGGCTCTGAGGGGCAAAGGCTTGGTGGGCTCCCTGGGGGAGGAAGGCCCTAGGGAGGCTCGAGTAGGGTGAGGGGTGCACACTGGGGAGCATGTCTAGACCAGATCATGCAGGGCTCTCTGGATGTTGGGCAAGGAGTCGGGGTCGCTGCAAGTTGGGGGGCCCGGGGGACACAATCTGGGCAGTCTTACCAGAGCCACAGCATCCTAGATTTAGAAGGAGCTTGGTGGGCATGTTATTGCCCACACTCAAGCATGGAACCCCAAAACCAACTAGGAATGAGCAGGCTGTCTGTTTAGTCCTGCGTAATGGGGGCTATGGAGGTCATCTGCCTCCTTTCGGGGTGGGGCAGGCTGCTTGGAGGTTCCAGACCTAGCCACGTCCCAAAGTGGCGGCCCAAGAGGAGTTCCAGCCATAATCTTGTTTGATCCTCACCCCAGGGCCTCGGATGAACCGTCCAACATCCCACAGGTGCTAGGACAGACTCTTAACCCCGTGTTCTCTCAGCTGTCACCCCTCACGTAGTTGTGCAGTATTTACAGAGGGCCTCCTGGGTTTCATATACAGGGGGAACCCGGGCCAGCCACGGTCTGTCCCGTCTTGGAGTTTACCAACTGGGCAAGGGGTGGAGAAGGGCAGACATTGTAAATGGCACAGGGATGAGGAGGGTTGGTGGGAACACTGAAAGGCACCCACTTTGGAGCGGGGCACAAATCAAGGCAGGCTTCCTGGAGGTGACGTCAGGCGTGAGTTCCCAGAAATTGGCTGGGTGATAGGACAAACAGACCTGACTGGTGGACAGTGTGAGTAGAAGTGTGGCCGAGCGATGATGTGGGACTGTCACGTGTGGGGAGGAGGCAGTTGGCAAGGGAGAGGAAGCTTAAGTGTCAGGGGCCTCCACTGCAGACATTTCGTATTTGTGATTTTGTCTATTTCTTAAAGAAGTACCTTTGCAATTTAGAAAACCTCGAAGCCCCCAAAACCGATGGGCCCTGTCACCAGTGGTGCCTGTGGCTCAGATCTGATCCCGTCAGACAGGGGCCGAGAGCTGCTGGGACTGTCTCTGGGCCTTCCCCCATCCATCTGCTGGGTCAGGCCCCGGCCCCCTCCACCACTCCCAATCCCCACCAGGCTCCTTTCCTCTTCCCACCCATGGAGCAGCTCTGGCTCCAAGCCCTCAGCTCTGTTTTGGAAAGTAGCTTGGACCCTGGTTTGGTTCCAGGAGTTGGGTCCTGTCACTCCCTCAGCTCGTGTCTGAGGGCTGTGTCCTGCGATGGGGACCAGGATCAGCCATATTCCTTGGGGATTTGGGCCCAGGCTGAGAAGGGAAATCAGCTGGGTCCAGGAGAGGCTGGGCTGGGAGTGAGGCAGGGGTTCCTTTCTCCCCTGCAAACCTGCTGCTGCCGCCTGGGCCTTGGGGCCACCTCCCCCCGGAGGCCTTCTCTGGTCTCCACGCCAGGGGGCCTCTCCCTGCCCCAAGGTAGAAGCTCCTTGAAGGCAAGTCCTGCTTCTTCAACACAACTGGCATCACAGGGCAGGTCCTGATGCTCTGGGAAGGTGCTCCCCACTGGGACACACGGGCTGTGGGCCCACCCTTGCCCCTCTGCCTGGAAGCACCCCAGCACCTCTCCCTGACTTGCCCTCCCCAGCCCAAGCTCTCTCCTCTGCTCACTCGGTCTGCTCAGACTCTGGCAGTCTGTCCTTGCTCGCTGGCCAGACCACAGGCTACAGGAGGAGTGGGCTTTGGGCTGACCCCCAGCTTTGCCAGGGGTGGCCTAGTGGGTAGGTGCGTATTCCTCCCAACGTGGCCAGGGCGTACCCCTCTGTGTCCTCTGTGGCAAACGAGCTGCTGCCCCCAGAGGACTGAACACTGGGCCACCAAACCCTGAATGCACCCCATCTCTGTCCTGCCAGGCAGATAACCACGGGATGTCGGGGGGGGGTGCTCTGAAGCCACTCTGGGGCCACCGCACTGACGCTGCCCTCCCCGGCCCTCGAATCCGGGGCCTGCGCCACGGCCTCGGCGCCCCACACCCGCCGGTGGCCTCACAGGGCCGAGGCTGCCCCTGGTTTCAGGAGCACGGGCAGACACCTGCGTGACGGGCTCAGGGCCCCAGAGGCCACCCGGTGGCCAGCTGATGGGCTCTGCTCCCCTCGATCGTGGACAGTATGGCACGCGGACAGCACGTGCTCACGTCGCCCCTCCCCCAGGAGGGCGGGGACCAAATCCTGTTTGCTGCGGCGGTCCGCTTTAGTCCAGATTTTCTGGGCAACTGGACCCGCCCTCCTCCACCGCACAAGCTGACTGTATGTGAAATCCAGGCTGCCTGGATCCCCCGTGGCTGGCCGGACGGACCCTCAGATGTGCAGGTGAAAACACCCTGGTTAGGGCTTAGCACATGCCAGCTTTTTTTTTTTTAAAGACTTATTTATTTTAGAGTGAGTGTGCACGCGCATGGCTGGGGGGAGGGTCCGAGGGAGAGAGAACCTTGAGCAGATTCCCTGCTGAGCGTGGAGCCCAAGTGGGGGCGGGGGGGGGCTCTATCTCAGGACCCTGAGATCATGACCTGAGCCAAAACCAAGAGTCAGCCGCTCAACTGACCGAGCCACCCAGACGCCCCCCACGCCACCTTTGTTAAAAGCTGCCCAAACCCTCTTACAAAGGAGGTGGCTGGTGGCAGGGAGTGTGGCCCACCGTGGGGTACGGGCTAGGCTTGACACAGAGAGAGCCAGGCCTGTTCCACTGCCAAGGTTCCCTCCAGGGCCGAGCCGGGGGGTTGGCTCTGTATGGCTGGGGGACATCAGAGTACCCAGGACCCCCGGCAGCCAGAGAAGAGGGTTCTGGGCTGCCTTTCACACCAGGGGCTTCGAAGTACAACTTTAAGGGCAACAGGCAACAGAAGGGGGGCAGAGGTGGGGTCTCAGGTGTGGAGGAGGGCTGACTCCAGAGCCTGCCCCGAAGGCACATCTGCTGGGGAGAGCCTGCCAGGCCCTGTCTGCTTCACCTCTGCCTCCCCTCTTCCTGGCTGACTGTTCTAAGGCTGTGTGATCTTTGTGTTCTCCTCATGTGGGCGCAGCCCTTTACAGTTTACAAAGGCTTTGCGGCCTCCATTTTCCGGTTGAATTCTGCTAACAGCCTGAGGTAAGCAGGGTTGGACTGGTCCCACCCGAGGCCCGAGAAGGGAGGCACTGGGGCGAGCTGGCTGCGGGGCCGGGGAACCCCATCCACGGCAGCCCTGGCTCCACCATCAGCTCCTCAGCCGGCCAGTGGCCTTGTCCAGCGTTGAAAAGCGGATCAGCTTCAGGCGGGGCGGCTGGGGCTTCCTGTCATCCCAGAGGTACTCAGGGGACAGCACTTTGGAGGGCTTGTGCGAGAGGAAGCGACGGTTCAGGTGGCTCTCCTCCTGCCAGGCTGCCATGATGCCATTGGCCTTGTCTGCCAGGATGGCCATGTGGCAGCCCCTGGTAAACTCATACACCCTGGCCACCCGCCCCCCAAAGACGGCCCCACCATAATAGAAGTCCCCCTCGCCATCTGCCACGAAGGCAGTGGAAACACGCCTGCGCTCATAGGGGAACTGCTGGCGAGGTACAGCATAGTAGCCTGGGTGAATGGCAGCCACCAGGTCCCCCAGGGTCTCGGGGCCCCACGGGTTCCGGAACACCGTGTCCACATTGAGGCAGAAGAGGTAATCCACCTCCCGGTGCGCAGTCTCAGCAATGTGCCGGCTGATGGTCTCCATCCGGCGCGTGGAGATCTCCTCCCAGTAGGAGTGCTTCTGGATGGGGATGGTGCTGAGGCTGCGGCCGGGGCCCAGCGGGACCCGAGGAACGGCCGCAGGGTCATTAGTGAAGACGTAGTACCGCACCCGATAACCCTGCATGAAGAACCGCTCGGCCGACTCCAGGAAGTGCTGGATGAACTGGGTGTACCTGGCAGGGAGGAGGGTGGGGGAATGACCTCATCGACCTCGCTCGGGGTCCCCACTACGGGCTGGCCCCTCGCAGGCCTGGGGCCTGGGCTCGGCCAGGCTGGGGACCACCTCCCAGCTCCTCACTTTGAGATGCCACTCAGGTCTGAAACCTCGGGGTCCTCCTCTGTCACACCCCCACAATCACAGTACCAGCCTCTTCCTTCGTAGGAAGGATGCTTAACAGGGATTCTTAAATTCGCACACGGAGCTAACTTTTAGTGAGCACTTAACTAGGTGCCAGGCAGTGTTTTAAGGGATTCTTAGCTCCTTGCAGCCTCATAAACTCCCTAAAGGCAGGCACCACATCCCCATTTTAAAGTTTATTGATTTTTTTTTTTTTTAGTAATCTCTACACCCAATGTGGGGCTCGAACCCATGACTCCCAAGATCAAGAGTCGCACACTTCACTGACTGAGCCAGCCACGCGCCCTCCTCATAATCCCCATTTTAGAGGCAGAGACACTGAGGCTCAGAGAGAGGAAAGTGACCACATGGCAGGCTAAGTGGCTGCATCATGGTGAGGTGAGTGGTGCTGGGGGCTGTGGGGTTTGGGGCCCAGCTGGAGGAAACTGCAGGCCGGCACCCCACCTCCAGGTCAAAGCCGATGGAACCTGACCCAGGCGGGCCACCCATCATCTGGCCAGCACTTGCGGTATTGGGGCTCCACCGTGGTTTCTCCCTCAGGAGTCCCAGAAAGAGATGGAAGGGGAGGCTGCCAGGCCTCCTCAAGGCAAGGCTAGGTGGGGTGAGGGAGAGGAGAGGAAAGCAGGAGATATCCAGAGAGTAGGCAGGCCCAGACTGGGGAGAGGGGAGAGGGTCCTGAGGGCGGAGTCAGACCTGCCTGTGGCCTGACCATGGACCCCCAGTTATGTGAGGTGGTCTTGAGTGTTTCCAGTCCTTCATGCCTGCCTGCACTGTTCCAGGGGAACAGAGAGGGGTGAGGAGGCCAAGGGGGGTGTCCTCACAAAGGCTCCTGCTGCTCCCATTCCAGGGCCAGATCCCCTCCTCCAGGAAGCCCTCCCGTCATCACCCTCTACTCCCTACCTTCCCACACGCACAGCACCTGGTTCAGGGCTTTCCTGGCATCCAGGCAGGGTCCCATGTCCAGGTCTTGTCCCTTCCCAGACTGTAAGCTCCTATGGCTCAGTGACATCCCCCCACCCAGCCCATTACTCACTTCCCCACGGCAAACACCGTAACCCCGATGGTCAGGTTCAGCGGCTGGTAGATGTGTTGCAGAAGCTCAGGGTTGAAGGTTCCCTCAGAGACGATGGGCGCCAACCAGGGTGTAAGCGTCAGCAGCTCAGTAGGCCTAGCAGCAGGGCAGGCCATGGGGGGTGAGGCCCTTTCCTTGGGAAAGCCGCAGCCTCATCCTGGCCCTGCCTCCCATGTTGTGTGACCTGGGGCAGCTTCATCCCTGTCTCTGGGCCTCAGTATCCTCCTATGGGAAGTGGGAATAAAAATAGTTCCTCCCCGGCATGGTCGAGAGGACCAGGAGTGATGCACATCCAGTGTGTAAGGGAGCCTAGCACTTCAGGTGCCTGCTAAGTGCCTAATACATGAGGGGTAGCAATATCAGCAGGAACCCCGGATTGAGCACCTACTATGCAGCTGTGCCCCCCCTTTTTTACGTAGGCTCCATGCCCAGCATAGAGCCCAACGTGGGGCTTGAACTCAAGACCCTGAGATCAAGAGTCGGACTCTCAACTGAACTGAGCCACTCAGGCACCCGGAGCTGTGCCTTTTGCAAACAACGTCTCATCTAGTCCTCCATCCAACCCGCTATGAAGGGGGTATTCTTATCCACCCATACAGAAACAGCTCAGAGCAGTTCGGTAACCTGCCCAAAGTTACACAGCTAGTGACAGAAAGGGACTGGAACCCAGGTCCCAGACTAGCTGGACCCCAAGGCCACCTGACATCCCCACCACCCCAGCTTATAAATCGGAGCTCTGCACCTGCCCGCCCCCCGCCGTGCCCCCCTTCCTCCCGCCAATCTCTCCATTCTGCACCCAGACCCTACCCAACACCCACCTCTGCTCCAGCAGCTTGGGCTGAGGGTACAGTGACCTGTAACCAAGAAGGGCCAGTGGTGAGGGGAGGCAGCCCCCGGCCCCCGGGGCCACAAAGGGGGAGATGGCAGTCCGCTTACCATGTCACCGGCTGGAACGGCTTCTCCCCCTTATACTGCAGTTTCATGTTGCTGGTGGCAGAGGCGAGAGAGAGGTGTTAGTGCTAGGGCGGGGGACAGAGCTACTCAGAGCGGGAAGGACAGAGTGGAGAAGAAGCAAACACCCCCATGGGGCAGGCACCATGCCAGGTTCCAGGCAGACTCCCTGGAGCCTTCCCCACTGCTCTGCCCACCCTGCAGGGGCTGGGCTCCTGCAGAAGCAGTCTGTCCGGGGTTACTGAGTGGCACAGCGGCAATCGGTACCCAGTGTCCCCTGTCTCCGAAGCTGATGCTCTTTCAAGCATGTCACTCTGTAGGGCCCTGGCAGTGGGTAGAAGTTTTGAGAAGCTGCAAAGGCCCGGTGATCCCAGTTCTGCCGCCTTCTCGCCTGGGGACCTGAGGTGAGTCACCTGAGCCCACGGTGATGGTCACTTGCAGGACCCAGTTACACAAACAGCAATCAAGGTATTGCTTCGATGGTATTTGGTGGATGTAATTAACATCTACACCAGCTGCCCTTAGGTAAAGATGATCCTGCCGGGCCTGGGCGGGCTTGATAGAATCTGGTGGAAAGGCTCGAAGAGCAGAACTGAGGTTTCTGTGAAGACATTCTGCCAGTGTCAGCGCCGGCCCGAGCTCCAGCCTGCCCTTCCCAGGCCTGCTCCCCGGATTCCAGACTGGCTCAGCTCCATCAGTCAATCTACCTTTCTCCCTCCCTCCTCCGTTCTGTGTCTATCGTGGAATCCTGACTCATGCCCCCACGCTTCCTCATCTGTAAGATGGGTAACCATCCCTCACCCTCAGAGCTGCCCTGAGAATCAAGGTGTGCGTCCATGCCCAGCACAGAGCAAACACTCGTCAAGACAATCTTGTCCCTTTCTTGGCAGGCAGCCTGCCGGTGTGGCCAGCCTCCACTAGCTTCAGCCGAGGGCAGCTTGGGTGGAGAAGCAAAAAGGAGGGCCCTGCAGGTTTGCATAGAGCCTCTGGCTTGGCCACCAGCGGGCTGGAAGGACCTGGGGCCAGACATTTGACTCCTCGGGCTTGAAAGTCCTCCCAATGACATCCTTCCCCAGAGAGTGGAAGTGAGGCCCAGAGAAGGCAGAGGCTACCCAAGGCCACCCAGGGCATGCAGCAGCTGCAGAAGAGCCTGAGGTCATCAGGCCAGACCACCTGAGCACACCGCGCCTGCCATTCACTAAGGAATTTTCAATATGGCATCTTTGATGGGGATGGCTTAAGCCTCCTTAAGTTTTCCTACCAATTTTTAGTCTATGCTTCTCTCTCGCTCTCTCTTTTGGTGGTAAAATGTACAAAACAAAGCTTTACTATTTTAACCATTTTTTAAAAAAGATATATTTATTTTAGAGGAAGGAAGAGAAAGAGAGGGTGGGGGTAGAGGGAGAGAGAGGGAGAATCTCAAGCAGATTCCCTGCTGAACGTGGGGCTTGATGTGGGGCTCGATCTCACGACCCTTGAGATCATGACCTGAGCTGAAACCAAGAGTCAGATGATCAACCAGGCACCCCTATTTTAACCATTTTTAAGTGCACAGTTCAGGGGCCTGAAGCACGTCCACACTGTTGTGCAGCCGTCCCCAACATCCCTCTCCAGAACCTTCTCATCTTCCCAAACTGAAACTCCGTCCCCATGAAATGCTGACCCCCCCTCGGCCCCTGGTAACCATTATTCTACTTCTGTTTCAATGAATTTGGTTATTCTAGAGAGCTCATGTAAGTGGAATCCTGTAATATGTGTTTATCTTTCTGTGATTAGTTTAAACTCTTGAATCAACAATTTTTAAAAGTCAGTCTGTCACACTGGCTGTCTGCCCCAGTTTCCACCCAAACAAGCACTCAGGTCCCCACTCGGAAAGTGAGGGCACACTGCAAAGGCAGGAAGTGAGGAGGAAGAGGGCCCACAACCCTGGCAGTTGGCTCCTCCCCAAGCCCAGCCATGCTCCAGCCTTATTAAAGCACTCGTTCAGTCATAAGAATACTGGAGCCACAGATGAGCCGGAGCCAAAAAAAATCAAAAAAACAAAACCCAAAAAACCCCGAAACAAAACAAAACAATTTCACACTTTCATACCCGTAGGTAGGAAAACCAAAAGTGAAGAAATCCAGATGAAAAGACAGGAAGATGTGGCCATTTAACACACACAAAATTTCTCCAACTTCAATCTATTAAAAAAAAGAGCTAAGTGGAACCAAAAGATAGACAAACTGGAAAGAAAAAAAAATGTAGCAAATACTTTGGGCCCAAAGTGGTGCCAGAGTCCCCACAAAGAGGCCAGGGAGAGAAGGCAGTGTGGCAGGTACATCAGGGAAGAGGAAATTCAGTTCGTGGGAAGGGGGTGGGAGAAAGGAGAGCCTCGGTAGAAATCAAGGAAATGAAATCGAAACTCAGGAGATAGCATCCCCCGCCGCTCAAATCAGCAAGGTGGTTTAGTTGTTGCTTTTCACAACACCCAGTGCTTCCTCTAGTCCTGGCCAGGGAGTGACGTCTGTGTGAACAAGAGAATGGGAGCCTGGCCCAGGGAGGGAACTATCAAATGAAAGGATTTTTTAATATGGGAAAAAGCTTTATATCTAGAGCTGCTCATTACAAACTCATTTAGAATCCTGGAATTGGAGGGGGCACCTGGGTGGCTCAGTCAGTGAAGCATCTGCCTCCTGCTTGGGTCATGATCTCAGGGTTCTGGGATCAAGCCCCATGTTGGGCTCCCTGCTCAGTGGGGAGCCTGCTTCTCCCTCTGCTCCTTCCCTCACTCGTGCTTGCTCTCTCTCAAATAATTAAATAAAATCTTAAAAAAAAAAAAAAGAATCCTGGGGAATTGAAAACAACCGAAATCCCCCCCTGGTCCTTTGTGGGAAAGGGGGAGGAGTTCAAGAATTATGACCCAGTTCCTGGGGGCAATTAAAGGGTGGTGACCATGAAGAGGATGAACACACGCTGAAGAACATAGCCAGTTCTGGGAACACAGGATAAAAATCGCAAAAACATTATGATCACAAATATTTTCTTTTCTTTTCTTTTTTTTAAGATTTTATTTATTTATTTGACAGAGATAGAGAGCACAAGTAGGCAGAGTGGAAGGCAGAGGGAGAGGGAGAAGCAGGCTCTCCACCGAGCAGGGAGCCAGACGTGGGGCTCGATCCCAGGGCCCCAGGATCATGACCTGAGCCAAAGGCAGACGCTTATCCAACAGCAACCCAGTCGTCCCGATCACAACTATTTTCAATAGCAAGCGGGCTTTCTGCTTTTAGAACCAAGTTAGCTGCACAGTCGATTCAACTAGAAAGGGCAGCAACCAACAAGTCGACCATGAACTTTGGAAGCAAAGTATAACTCAGACCGGTAGGACACAAGAGGGTATTTTTTCTTTTGTCTTTTCTGCTTTCCCGCTTCCTAATTGATTATATTCTGTGTTTATAACAATGAAACATGCCTTGTGGTTAATTAGCAGTCTATGAACCAGATTTTAAACTTGCCTTTAGCTATCACGAAGATACCCCCCCCTTACGACTGTCCCAGTCCATTTTTCCACTCTTAACTATCAAAAAGTTGGGTTTGTTATGTGGGGGAAGTCTGGTCCCATGTTAATTTGTTCCTTGAATCCACACTGAACACAAAATTTAGCAAAAAGTCAAGTCCTAAGAGCACTATTTCCTGAGCACCTGCTTGTGTGGTGTGTGCTGCAGCTGACCATTTACAGGGGTCATCACACTCCATGCTCCAGGTGGCCCGGAGGGGACTTCCATCATCCCATTTTACAGATGAAGAAAGTGAGGCTCAGAGCCCTGCGGCATGCTCGAGGTCAAAGCACAGAGGGGGCGCTGCAGGGACGCTAGAGGACTGACATGGGAATTGTACTCCACAGCCCATAAATTACCCAACACTTATCAAACTGATCAGAATCATGAGCTTAGGACCTAATAACCTGCAAAGTGACCCTAAAAATCTCCCAGTGCCCCCACTCCAGGCAGCCCACAAGGCCCAAATTCTCCCTGCCCCATACTTACAAGATCTCTGGGCAGGGGAGGTAATACGGGACATAGGAGAAGGGCAGCCAGTTCTCCACAAACATCCTGGGAAAGAAAAACACCTGTTGACTGTCATGAAGCTGAAAACCCACTTAGTGCACGTTGATGGGAGTCAAGGCACCCAGCGGGGTGCATCTGGGGATCCCCTACCACTCCTTGGGTCTGGCTGACCTCAGAGGGCAAAGCCTCCCGGTCTTCTGCAATGCGGCCATTATTCACCCATGCGGTCATTCATTCCCAGGGCAGGAATGTTTTTGATGCCAGGCCCTACGCACGGGGGAGTGGTGGTGAGGGGTGGTGGTGGTAGGACTTCACAGAAAGAACACATGGGGTGAATTGTGTTTGAATAGGAGTTCTTCATTAGCAAGGCTAGAAGAACGGTCCAGGCAGAGGAAAGAGCAAGTGCAAAGGCCCAGAGGCCATTATTAATCAAAATCCAGAAACCAAAACTAGTTTGGTCTTACTGGGGTTGGGGTTGAGGGACCGGTGTGCCAAGAGAGGTGGGTGGGACCTAGGGATCCATAAAGGGATCAAGGTTTGGGGGTTGAGATGCCAAGAAAGGGAGAAGCCTGGGGTGAAGGGAGGGCTCCATGGGCATATGCTCACCACAGAAAGCAGAGGGCAATGCCCAACAGCAGGCAGAATCCTAGGCCCAGGACCAGTCTGCGGCAGCGCATTGCTGGGTGAAGCCTTTGAACCTGGGCACTTGGAGAGACTGAGTGGGCTTGGTGAGCCAGTCCACCTCTCCCAGGGCTGTCAGGCTCTGAGCCTGTGTCTCTGGGATCCGAGGAACACCTGCAAAGGAATGCTCCCGATATCCAGGGGATAGTGGCCCCATCCTTGCTGCTCTGCCTTCCCCTGGGTGGCCCCAGCTATGACAGCTCCGGTAGGTGGACAGGGGGACAGTGGCTCAGTGCTCAGCCGAATCCTGCAGCTGTGCCTGGGGAGAGGCGGACCGTCCCCCTGCCTGGGCTGTCTTCCTCCCAATCCCCGCCCTCCGCGGGGAGCACAGGGCGTCCTGCCCAGGGACTCGGGCGCAGCGCTGGGCGGGGCGCTTGGGCGGGGCTTGGAGAAGGATTCCTGGGGGTAACAGCGGGGACACCGGAAATCGAGCCCAGGACCGGCGCAGCGGGGACACACTCGGCTTGGGCGGGGGCTGCGCCGAGAGGGGCCGCCGTGATGCCCTTGCGGTGGGGTAGGGGTGGGGGGTAGGATGGCAGCCGTGTCTTCCTCCGGGAGGCCGAGCCTGGGCTCTCCAGGGGACGGCGGGAACGCGCTTCAGCTCTCCCTGGCTCGGTAACCTTGGGCAAGTCACTCTGCTCCCCCTCCACCCCAGCCTCCGTGTCCTCCCCCGCCAAAGCGGTCCGCACCCGGGGGCCTGGTGCCCAGACGGGCACCCGACTTCCGCCCGCCACTGCGCCGCGACGCGGGACGTGGGGAGCGCGACTGTCCCCGCGGGCTGTAGACTCACCCCTTGCGACCGGACGGCGTTTAGGACGGACGGAGGGGAGCACCCCGGGCCGGAAACCAGGGACTCAGCTCGCCAGGGCCCCGACGATACCCGGTGGCCGCGCCTGCAGCCGCGCCCGGGGCTCACCCTGGGCCTAGGCCGGCGGCCGGGAGGAAAGGAGCCGCACGCCCCGCCCA